GTGTGGATGTGACAATTTTCACCGATGGATCGGCTGTTGCAGGATACCGCGAAGGTGGAGCAGCAGCAGTGGTGATAATGAATGATGAACCACCACGAACAGAAATTATTAAAACTAAAGGTGCATTCCTTACATCATCTTTTGACGAGGAATGCCAGGCAATGATGTCTGCTGCACAATGGATTGCTGACAATTGCCACAGCAGAACCAATGTGCTGGTCTTGACTGACGGTCAGTCCCTCTGCAAGTGACTGATAGGAAACAGCTCGGACATGAATGATTTGCGCCGCAAGTTCAGTGAAGCCACAGCCTCAATAAAAATCCAGTGGATTCCAAGCCATCTTGGAATAGAGGAAATGAGGCAGCAGACCAAGCTGCTAATGAAACCAGAGAGATTGAAGGAGACAGACGACCAGCAACTTACAGAGCTGAGGAGTCTTTCCAATGATCAAGAGGGAAATCAGAGACCCACCATGTAGAGCTAAGTGCCAGCACCTGGAAGATGTGTATTCTGGGTACTCCTATAAGCGGGAACAAAAATCTATCACATGTCGCTGGGACCAGGTTGAGCTAGCGAGACTGGGGTTGGACCATCAGTGGAGCTTAAGATGGTATAAGAACTTTGTAAATGAAGAAATCAGCCCATGTTGCCGAAGATGCGGCCATAAAAAGGAGGATGTCAAACATATGTTTGAATGTCCAGGAACAATGGCAATTCGAATGGGGTTATTTGGACGAGTGGAGGTGCCGCTATGAAAATTGACAATGGAGCCGAAAAAGAGCCTCGCTATCACTCGAAGATTTCTTTGTGGAGTCCGCCAGGCCCATTAAGGGAAAAAAAATCATCATCATCATCATCATCATCATCATCATCATCATCATCATCATCATCATCATCATCATCATCATCTCGAACTCGCAACCGTAAGGTCGTGGGTTCGAATCCCGTCAAGGGCCTGACGTTGTGTCATTGGGAAAGGCACTTTACACGAATTTTCCTCACTTCACCCAGGTGGGAATGGGTACCCGGCTACAGACAGCGAAAGATCTTGTCAGTTTGTTAGTGTTTGAGCGCTTAATCGGCTGCTTGCACTGTATGCTTCCCGGGAAGCTGAGAATGTTTCTGAGTGTTCTATGGTCTGCCGGGGTAATAATATAGTGTAAAGCACATAGAGCCTGCTGCTGAGCGGGGATATGCGCCTTACAAATGCTATCTATTATTATTATCATCATCATCATCATCATTATCATCCTTGTTCTTTTCTTCATCATCGTTAGAAGCTACAGCGCAGCAATGTCGCTGTGGGAAACTAATACAGCTTATTAAGCAAAAGCAGTATGTAACGTCATCTTCATCACTGTTGTCTTTGACAATACTACGTGTATTAAAAATCTCAGAGCCCTTCCCGCCGTAATAAAAAAAACCATCAATGTAAGCAAACATAGTCTCCCCCCCCCCCCCCCCAGAAGAAACAAAAACAAAAACAACAATAAAATCAACAACAACAACAACAACAACAACACAAAGCAAAACAAAACAAAACAAAACCTCTCATCTTTGCCACTTTCAACAATATTACTCTAGCCCTCTGACTGTGACTACCTTTTACCTTTCAGGACCCCCGATGTTCCACAAAAGAGGGTTTTTCCCAGGCTTTCGACCAATACCCGTCCCTTTGCCATCATTTGGCAAAATCATCCGGCCCGGCCCCGGCCCCGGCTTCAGACCTAGACCCAAGATCATAAACAACAACAACAATAGAAGAGATCTTATCGTTGTAGTGAACGACAGAAACGGCGGAGTTGGCGGAGGCCGTGTTATTCGCAAAGTCGTCGGTGGAGGTATCGGCGGGGGTATCGGCGGAGGTATCGGCGGAGGTATCGGCGGGGGTATCGGCGGAGGTATTGGTGGGGGTATCGGCGGAGGTATCGGCGGAGGCATTATCGGTGGGGGCATTGGCGGTGGAATCATCGGTGGAGGTATTGGTGGGGGCGTTATTGGAGTCGGAGGAGTCGGAGGAATTGGTGGAATTGGTGGAGTCGGAGGAATTGGTGGAGTCGGTGGAATTGGGGGAATTGGTGGAGTCGGCGGAGTGGGCGGAATCGGAGGAATTGGTGGAGTCGGTGGAATCGGAGGACTAGGTGGAGTCGGTGGAATCGGAGGACTTGGTGGAATCGGCGGAATCGGAGGTGGAATTAATAACGGCTTCGGAGACGGTTTCGACCCACGAGATGTTGATGGACGAAGAGGTATGCTAAGAGGACAATCATTTGAGAATGGCGGCGGCCGATATAACATCCACGACGCAGACACAGTTGTCATTGGAGGAAATGGACGGTTGTAGATGGTCTTGTGAGAGAGCGGGAGTAAAATTTGCGTCCTTTTTGTATTCGGGTGTTTATGAAGTCATTGTTGTAGTGTGCCTCAAGAGGTCTTATATTAAAACAAAAAAAGAAAAAAACAACTGATACGTATTCTGCCTTGTTTGTTTTTACTTGTGTGGATGAATAATACATGGCCTACTTACTTACTTACTTGTCCTGGGCAACAACGCCCTTGCACATCGGACAGGGCCATAAGTGCTCAGTTCCTCTCAGCACTAAAGCCCGCAAGGTATCCATACTAATTGTTCCAGGGGCTGTTTGATTATGGCGACGTCCTTTCATTCCAGATAATCGTTCCTTTCTTCCTTCTCCCCTCTCCATCCCCATTTCCCGCATCCTGATGATCGCGTGCTGTTCTGCTCTCTCTCTCTCTCTCTCTCTCTCTCTCTCTCTCTCTCTCTCTCTCTCTCTCTCTCTCTCTCTCTCTCTCTCTCTCTCTCTCTCTTTCTCTCTGTCTTCTTCATCTCGCAATTTTCCCTCCAGGGTCTTCAACATTTCTCCTTTGTCGAATTTCACCTCACCATCAACCATGGCACTACCACACCAGCCAGCCTATCACTAATCAGCCTCCTCATTTCCCTTCACTCTAGAGTGCCCACCATCCACGTGATGGCTCTAAGTGATGTGTGTTGTACATGTATTGGGTTCATCCATTCACTCCGAAACAGCCCTTTCTCGACCCTTCGCAGGACGCACTGGGAGTCAGTGACAATAATAAGATGGGTAGTTCTTGGTCTTGCATTTTGAAGCCAGCCAAGCGCTTTAGTTACGGCCTCAATCTCCATTTTCAAACTTCAAGTTATTCTTTCTATGGCTCTTGACATGCTATGAGCCTGTTTGTTCTCACTATACCCCATAAAACCCCAGCCACTCCTCTTACCCCTTCTGACCGATCCATCCGTGTAGATCACTATGGGTTCTCTGGTTTACAGTGCTCCTCAATTAAGTATCGTATGTCATTGACGTTAATGACAGCAGCCCATTTCAGTCTTTCACGATCCATAGTGTTGTGAACGTTGGCCAGGCTTCTGCAAACGGGGCACAGTTTAAAACATTCCTTTCCACTGCATATTTCATCAATGCCACAAACTTTCCTCAAGGAGTCTTCGGCTTCTGCCATCCATGAGCTGCCCCGTTTGATCCTATTTCCTTAGATGCTGCTTAGGTTGTCATGCAAAGAGTGCCCCGGGTCTCCCAAAACATTCAAGTACAGCTTTGCCTGTGCCACCTTATGCCTCACTCTGATACTGGCCAGGTCCAGGATGTATCTCATACAGACAACATGGGTGTCCTTTGTGTAACTCAAGACTGCCCTCATAGCTGCTTTGTGTACTCTCTCCGACCTGTCTATCTGGGTCTTGGACAGGGAGAGGATGTCCGGACCATAGTCTATGACTGACAGAACAACCAGCTGCATTAGGAGAAAAAGAACTCTCTGTTGAAATCCCGCTGAAGAAAATATTTTCTCTGCATTAATACCCTTCTGTGCCCTGACAGCAACATTGTCAATGTTTTCGGAAAGAACGTGTCCTGTCCAGAGTGATTCCAAGATACTTAAACGTATTCTGTCTGTATATGAGAAAGTGGTCAAACACAATTGGAGGGGTAGGATCTTTCACAATACGGTTGTTGAGTGAGCACCAGATGATCTGTGCTTTTTTTGGATTGAAGACCGCATCGTACTCCTCACACCAAACTGCGACCTTTCTCAGCCAGTCCTGTAGCATCCGTCCAACCGCTAGCCTATCACGACCTTGTCCGTAGACCATCACATCATCTGCAAAGGTCAGGATTCTTCCTGCTCTACTACACCGATCCTGGTGATAAGGCTGATCCTTGTGGCAGTCCTGAGGCAATCACTATTGGGTCTGATATTCATCACCCATTTCTTAGGGCCACCTTCCTCTCAAACAGAGCCTCGGAGATCCATTGTACCAACCAGGGGTCAACATCCATTTCCATCAGGAGATCCATGAGCTTGCCGTGATCAAATCGGTTGTAAGCATCATCTAGGCCTATACGATGGTGCTTGTTTTGGTAAGTATTTTACGGCGATTGCAAATGCATATGGTCATACATGAGCGCGAGGGGCACATTAAACATTAATTTTCAATTTGGTAGGAATTAAAATTGATTTTTGCTCGGTCGGCGGCCGAAGCCTACTCTTATCAATTTTGGATCACCAGGGGATCTTTAACGTGCGCAGAAAGTGGAGATTAAAGCAGGCGACAGAGCATGCTTAGAAAGCAGGAAAGGAGGTATAAGAAGAAAATTTTAGGGAAGAAAATTTTCCGTCACTGCCAGGTTTCGAACTCGGGACCCTTTGAATGAGAGGCAAACACCGTAACCTCTTGACCACGAGAGCCCCTTGCGATTGAGTTAAGCTACACGAGAATGGTACTGTCAGTTTTAGTTTTAGTAAGAGTTTTACGGCACTTGCAACACAGTTGTTGTTGTTGTTGTTTTCAAATCCCTTTAGCTACGAGCATTTCGCTCTTAGCAACACGGTAAGGTCAGTGCCGAAGAATAGATGTGTTAAAGAGAGTAACAAACTCGACGATAGATGTTTGATAGGACAGAAGGAGCAAACCACACCAGAACACCCGCCAACCACCAACTGGTACTGTCAAATAATGCTGTCAAATTACTACAGGCCTGCTGTTGTTGAGATATAAGAACTATTCGTTGGTCTTGATTCTATATCCCTGATCACAAGACTGGCATAAAATAAACACATTGAATTTACATTAATGTTATAAGGACATTGTAGGCCTAGATGAAACACGAGTTTTTTCTGCCAATTTTATAATAATTTGAAGCCTGCGCTACATCCCACCAAAAAACAACAACAAAAAAACAACAACAAAAAAACAACAACAAACAAACCAAAAATGCCCCAAAAGAAAACAGAACATAAAAAAGACAACCATGTTTTTAAAAATGGAACAACGATATATCCAAATTTGAGTTATTAAAAAAAGGGTAAGTGTTTTGAATTTTCCCTGGGTGGCGGCCGAAGTCTACACTTATCGATTTTAGAACAACCAAGAGATCGTTAGTTAACGAGCGCTACTTGAACATGGGACATCCGAGACTTTCCGCCTTTATCCGTGAAGGCTAGGTGTTTGATCTTACCTACCATAGGATCAGGGTGTGGCTGAAAGACAGCAGTAGGCCTAAGAAGGAGTCAAGGAGTAGCAGTAGAAGAAAGGCTGCAGAAAGAGTCAGAAGCCCAGCGGAGGGGGCAAAGGGGGAGGGGGTGGGGGGAGAAAGTGGAGACGAAAATAGACGACAGAATATGGTTAGGAGTTAGAGAGCAGGAAAGGAGTTGAAAGGAAAACACTTTAGAGAAGAAAAATTGCAGGTTTCGAACCCGGATCTATTGAATGAGAGGCGAACACGGTAACCTCTAGACCAAGTTTGGGCCATGTACAAATTCCAATTAATGTAAACTCTTTTTTTTTAGACCAGCCAGCTCTCTATAGTTTGAAGTTTAAATCTTTGATTTTGCGTAGTCCCGATTTACTCTGTCTTTCTTTTATCATTTGTCTTCCAAGCGACCCAGCCTTCCGAACGAATAAACATCTATGTCGATGAAGGTGTTAAAATATGTGTATTTTTTAAAGAGTTCCTTCCAGATCCCC